CTGAGCGCGCTCACTGCTGCACCGCTGGGTCACAGGGAGAGACGTGGTGAAATGTTTCCATACAAGCCAAATCTGAGCAGAACGAGAGAGCGGACACACTGAGGAGGGGGGACATTAACGGGATTAATAACAACTGTTACGTAAATGTTCTAGCTGACATCATCAGCAGATGTCCAATCAGCTGCTCAATAAGTCAGAATTTTCTCTGTTCACGCACAAACTGTCTGCTGGACACACATCAGCTATTGTCTGACCAGGATTTAGCGTCTAGGGGCAACAGCCAATGTTTCCTGGCTTTCGGTGTAGCCTGCACATATCTACCAAACTGATTAACAGATATCCAGGCCACGACTTCCTCTGCAGTCCGATCAGCAACTTGATACGCGAGAATGATGAGCAAGACACATTACGGCTAATGTCTATAAACAGATAATCTGCATATGAATGCAGATTTTATTTGACGATAGCCAGTCGGTTTCCGAGTTCTCTTTTGTTCTCCACACAGACTGTTCACCTGCATGCAGTCAGAATGCTTCTGATGCCAAAATGCCAAAGTCCTTTCTGCATTCATATGCAGATATCTATTTGATTATCTGCCACTTCTGAAAATAGAGGGAAAAAAAGGGTTGTGACTATAAAATCTATCTGTATTTGCTGTTGCCATTCTACCATTTTATTTTGTGTCCAAAGTGAGTGTGAAATGTATACTCTATCTAGTACCCCAAAAAAGCTTTGCAATGCAATGCTTTACATTTTACAGATATACAGTATATACATATTAAATTACTTTTACACTTTTACAAATTGGCAACGACTGATCGCAGTTTATGGCTTGCTATGCAGTTATGTACTGAGTATCTATAATGTGGGGAGAAGTTAATAAAGGTAGGAGGAGGAAGAGAAAAATTAGATGGTTCAGGAAGATATTATACAGTCTATAGTTATAGAGCATCTCAATCAGAAATCAATGTGGACACTTTATGTCTGCATGGGCAATGACGGAGGTGGGCTAGCAGACCCCGCTGCCTCCGGTGCTAAGCATCACTGAATGCACACGGATGAAACCAATATCTATTGTCTCATCTGGAGCTGAAGAAGACAGAGAACAAGAGGATTTACCTAAATGTTAGAATAACACAACCTTCCAATTTTAAGCTAAATTCTAAAAAACAGTTGAAGTAATTTCTCATGCTAGAGAATCCCTCTCTCTCTCTCTCTCTCTCTCTCCATGTTGAGGTGTGAGCAATGTGAGAATTTAATTAAGTATCATGGCTGAGAGGAGCTGCTGTTCAATAGGAAATTGGTTTGATAATTGGGGGCTAACAGGCTATCACAATCACACCGCTGCTCTTCTGCTCCAAAGGGAGAACTGATTACCTGGTTATGTACAGGCCTGTAGAGACTTTCATTTTCTTCATTTTTTCCCCGGCCTCGGCTCACAGAGTGTAATTTAGTGCCGGGAATGAGAGCAAGACTGGAACGACAGGAATGATCGGGTCAGTAAGGTATCGTCCAAATAGCAGGACATTCCTCTGAAGGAAGAATTCATTTTGAAATGAGATGACAGAAAGGGAGAGGCTCGACATGGGATCAGCTGAGGCCGACAGACTGACTGACTGGAAAGGCAACGTGTGTGTGTCCGTGTGGCTTTCTACAGAGGACACCTGCTACGGGTACTTCCTCTGCAGTGCAGTCAGCAGTACGTTATGTCATGCTACGTTGCACTTTGATATGTTGGGTTATGTTACGTTGCGTCACATTACCTTGTGTTGCACTGTTTTACAACAACTTGCGTTGAGATGTGTTGTGTTGTTGTTGAATTATGTTACCTTCCAGTGTAGGGTCATGTTATGTTGTGCTACATTACACTACGTTATTGTGCTACGTCACGCTTTGTTGGGTTATGTCACTGCGTTGAGATGTGTTGCTATACGTTAAATTATGTTAACCTTGCAGTCTGTCTCGTATGTGATACTATGTTGCATTCATTTATACGTTACGGTTGTGTTACGTCATGATACATTGTATAACATTCATTACCTTCCATTGCATCATGCCACACTATATTATGGTACATCATGTCATGCAACAATATGCTACGTTAGGTTAGGTTAGGTTCAAATATCACTTGTTTAGTAAATGCAAAAAATCATTAAAAACCCAATTATTTTATGCGACAATAATGATTCATGTCAAATGTGTGGACATTTTGGAGTACTGAGCTGAATCAAGTATCTGGTATTAACATTTTACAAGTACTGGTATAATCAGTGTAAAAAGTGTCATTATCCGTACTGATCTGTAACAATATAGTTACTTTTTCTGTAAATAGTTTTCTTACTATTGTAATTGGAAGCAATTAGCTGTTCTGGGAATAGTTTTTTAAATAAATATATCAATTTATATGTCAATTTCAGGCTTAAATGAACAACTACAGACAAACCCTTTCTAAGTACAGATACAGATAACTGAGTTGGTTGAACTCATAACAGACATACAATAGATACAGATAAGGGTATTCATGCCTACTGATAACCTTTTAGGTGATTAGGTTTGACATTGTATGAACATTCACTGTATTCATACTGATGTTATATGTGAGAAGACTGACCTTAGGCTACCTACTTTAATCACATGCATTTGTTTCAGAAAATGCTTCTCTGATTTATGTTGTTATGTTTGATTCTTCCTCCTCATATCTTTCCTCTCTATAATGAGGAACATCACTTTCTGTTCTCCCTTGTGTGTTTTTTTCCTGCTGGGACAAGCGACCATCTTTCATGAGATGCACACACTGTTAATTGCTGACAGATGTTTGTTCCATATTCTGCCAGAGTCATATCTAGTCACAGAGACATCTGCTCCATCACCGACCCGGCTCTGACCTCCTCAGTACTGACTGTTGGTAATGTTGATTATCTAGAGACTTGATATCTATCCCAGAATTCTTTACTAACAGGAAGATCCAACATTTTTACAAATGAACATCAGTTATACATGTTGGAAACCAGAGTATGTCAGCGGAGTGTGCGGAGAGCATGACTGGCCAACTTTAAAAAAAAGTTAGAGTGTGTCCTTATCTCCAGCTCCAGTTTTGTTTGTGTTTCCAAGGAAATATAAGTCTCAGCCTCTGACTCCATTGAACATCCATAGATTCTGTTTATTTCTTGTTATCTGTTTCCTGCTCAATTAAACTCCTGCGTCCACAACTCAACACACTCCTCTTCCTCCTCCTCTTCATCACCCCCTCCTCCCTCTCTCTCTCTATCTGTCTCTCTGTGGACCAATCAGGGAGCCACAATATGCAAATGTGGTTGTGAGAATGTCCTATTTCTTTATAAATAGCTGATTTGGATAAGGAGGAGGTATGTACAGGAAACAGAATCAGTGCTTTGAATACTTTTTATTGTGAGTTCACTCCTCCATTCCTTTGGAGATGTAAAGAATAAAGATGCAATATTTTGCCAGAAAGGCATATCTTTGAGAAAAGAGTAACAATTTTACTCACAAAAATCTGTAACAGAGGAAAAACATCACAATGTGTGAGAATACAGCCATTATTTCATGGAAAAAGTCAGAATGTAGAACGAGAATAAAGCTAGAATTTTACAAAAAGAACAGTTATACATTAAACAAAGTTACAATTTTAAGAAAAATGGTTGTAATTTTAGGTGATAAAGACAAAAAAGAAATGTTCCTCATCCTGTAAAAAATTCTGCTATTACTCTATATATCTTTGTGTATATTTTTAGCAAAAGTCACACAATATACCTAAGTCTTAATGTTATGTGAATGAAGTTGTAATTTAAAAGAAAATACAAGGATGTTTACAAGAAGAAATTCTTACGACCTTTATGAGTTTATGTCTTTTTCCAAACAGTGACCCTGCGATTCTTTCTTCCACTTTATCTCATGTTCTTTCATCTCAGTTCACTCAAGTTGAATATCATGACAATCTGTATGTACATGTATTAATCACTTTACATCATACAAGAACATTATTATGAAGATGCACTAATAATGCACAAACAGTTGCATCAACATTAATCAAAAAGGGAATTATAAGAGAGAGGGAGGAAACAAATCAGCTGTTCTTCTGTTGATGGAGAGTTTTGGAGTTTAAAACATTCTGTCATAAAACAAAACTCACATGGTGTACACTGAACAAGAAAAACACTCAAGACACTCAAGAAATGAACTACTCTGACATGCAGCGTGTAATAGCAACATGAGAATTGCCTAATTGGAGTTGAGTATGCAAACGAGGTGCTCAATGCAAACACACGAGTACCATCTCAGGCTGTACAGAGCAGGTTTAATTAGTCATTCATCTCAGAAGTGGTTGTTTATGAATTTGTTTACGATCTATAAATAGTAACATTAAAGAGAATAAAAATCATATTTTTCCAATTAATTTATGATTAAGTGAACACACTGAGGGACTCACTCTCTCGCTTAGTGCTGAATAATGATTACTTTATTATATTAATGACATTTCGGTCTGTACGACCTTCAGGCAGCTCCTGTGTATACACACACACACACACACACATCGGAGCTGCCTCAATCGTTTAATCGTTGAATCAGAGGACTACAGTGATTAGTTTGACAGGGTGACATGTAATGTTATAACTTATTATCTGATTAAGCTTGTACAGACTGAAACGTAAATGTAATAATAGAATAAAATAAATAAATAAAAGGAGCAGTTGAAGTAGTTTCAATAAAATATTTTGTCAGCAGTAAGTGAGGCAGTGCGCAGGGTCCCTCACTGTGTTCAGCCTTCCTCTGATGCACCTGTCACACATTCAGGTGTGTAGAGACTATTTTTCTTGTTGTTTTTTTTATATATTGTTTTTCTACTTTTATTTATTTATGATAAAGGTAACACAAATGTAACAACACTTGAGAGGAACTGGGTCACATGACAGTGAGTCATGAAGGATGAGCGATCTTTACAAATAAATTCTGCTGTCTCTCCTCCTCTTCCTCCTCATCAGTTCGTATCGTCTGGAGTCGACAGTGGTGTGAGATGACTCCGTGTTTGGACGACGAAGGCTGTGATCTCCTGGTCTATCAGTCGGGCTGGACCTGCACGCAACCAGGAGGCCGAGTCAAGACCACCACGGTAAGAAGAGAACTGAACTGGGCCAGACTGAACCTGAACCTGGTCAGCCTTATTTACATGTGACTATCATGTGATGGATATCCTATTAGTGAATGTCTCACCGTGATCTGTCTCACCAAACATCCGTTTTCAACAGGAAATATATCACATTAAGGAAGTAATGGTACAATATTCTGGGACTTTGATATCAAAGTTTGATGTAAAACTAAATATTGTAACCCGAAAGGACACTTGATGGTCATATGGGTCTATGGAAAGATGTCTTATTATCTTAATATGCCTGGTGGAGATTATGAGATTGGAACTGTGTGTGTGTGTCCGTATGTATATCTGTCCGCAGTTAATACTGTACCAATTCACCTAATTTTTCTTTTTTTTCACGTTTATGACTGTATGCTTAAGGACCTCTTGTGGTTGCTGTGATTCACAATGCTTGAAAAACATTGAAAGCTATTTTATTGACTCGTCTGTTTTATATCGGCTGCTGACTCCTTTTAACTAGCCAATAGGGCTGAAAGTGATCAACAACATCGTGAACAGTGTCATCTTGAACCGGAGCATCTGGAGATTAATTCCATACGTGATATGTTATAATCCACTAAAGTTAGACCTGATACGAGTTAAAATCCCATCTTGACGCTGCTGTATGTTGCTGCTATGAATCTGTGCGGCCATCGTATTGGTGCGGTAAAACAAAGAATTATATTGAGAGATATATGTAGATTTCACTACAAAATCACCTGTAAGTCCCTTAATTCTGAACAGATTTTTATTAAATTTGGTTTGTTACAAACGTGAGGAAGTGATCCTGGTTACTTGTTGGAATCTACTCTACACCAAAACAGTAACCTTCTGAATTTCCACAACTTCCATTGGGAAATGCTTGCTTCAGTCTGTGAATAAAACATCAATGTAAATTATTTACAATTTCAGCATTTGTGACTTTCTACAAAAATGTAGATTTATTTTATATTGTCATTAAGCTTCTTGGTTGCCTGAAATGTTCTTAATAAGTAAGAATGTTTAAACTGAGAAGATTTTTTATTATACTTATTGTCCCGTTTATTTTTTCCTTATTAAAGTCCCCTCCACTCAAAAATTAGTTTTCCTCCTTGTTCCTACAGTTGGATGTTTGAGCTTCATTGTGCATCAGTCTGTTCTCTGTTTCAGTATGCAACTTGTACAAGTGTGATGTAGAAACTTGAAGCCATCAGTGCACATCCACTGAGAATGGGCTTTATAGTGAAGTAGGAGACATCTTGTGTCCAGCAGGACAACTTTAGAAATGAACATTTGCATATTCAGAGATTCTGGAAGTTTTAATGAGGAAGAAGGAGTAGATTACTTTTTAAGGGTTTTAATGTGGAAACTATTATTTTGCTGTTTGTTGTGATAAAAGCAGGTGTGCAGATACACATGTTGGATTTTGGAAGATTATTTTTGTACCACCCACAGACATAAATGTATTAATTTACTCTGAAATTTACATTACACCAATAGGCGTATAGGGCATACACTCCCGCTACCAGTTTGTTCCTATAGTTCACACACAGTCAGAAATATTAAAGGGTAGTGTCATAAAATTAGGAGCAAACTCAGTGGAAATGTTCTTCAGAGTTAGTGCCTTTCATTATTCCTTTCCTCCCTTTGTGTGTTGCATTTCAATCAGAGATATAATTTTAACATCAGCTTCTAATAACATAATAACATCTTCTAACGAGGATGCTGGTGGCCCTTATTAAAATCACAGCCTGTGTGTGTTGACTGAATAATTGCTACCCATGAGCATTCTCTTCTCCATCTGCCACACAGCGGCTGATTAACAGGAGTTGTTTCAAGAGCCTCTTCATGCAGCAATATCATGCCATCAACCAAATCTCATTCAAGGTTTGTTGATTTTTAAAACAGAGCTATTCATCTTCTTCCAGTTCTCTGTCATTCTCTGTGTAGCTGAAGACTGTTCAGCTGATGAGGCTGATTAGCTGATTTCCATGATTCATTAATGTCTATTTAAAACTTTCAGTTTGTGAAAGTTTGTAGTTTCTGGTTCAGTTTGTGTTTCTGCAGAAGCTTCTGTTCATCTGCATGAAAACAAACCTAAACGGTACTGTGGTAGTTCATCTTTGTCAGTTTCTCTGAAGCTTTTTTATTTTACATTTTTAACTAAGCTTGGAAGTTCATCGATGACCTCAAAAAACAGTGGTTGACAAAACAGTTTTCACCCACTAGCTTTTTCTGGGGCTTTAGAGTGTTCATCAGCAGATTTAGCTTCCTTAGTTGTAAAGGAGCTGTAGATGTTAAAACTCTGTTTTTCTGAGTATTTGTTTAATACATGTGGGTTTAAAGGTCCAGTGTGTAACATTTAGGAGGATCTATTGGCAGAAATGGAATATAATATTCATAGGTATGTTTTCATTAATGTGTAATCACCAGAATATAGGAATGTGTTTGTGTATTACCTTAGAATTAGACGTTTTTAACTCAGCTCAAGTTGACCTGCCTGAACTAGCTCGCAGGCTTCACTTCATATGTCACGTGTCACCTTCCATGAAGTCCGCCATGTTGAACCACCATGTTTCTACAGTAGCTCAGAATGGACAAACCAAACACTATCTATAGATATAGATAGACTGGGAGATTTGTGGCCAATTCCTACACACTTCACAGCCCGTTCTCATTCCCAGGTCGTCAAATAGAGACGCGAGCAGTGTTCAGTTAGTTCCAATCTGAAACTTATACCTCTAATACTTACACACTGGTCCTTTAAATCTGGCTTTATGTTGACATTTTTTAACAACAGGGGCGATAAATTACACAATGTTTTAATAAAACAAAGTTACATACAATCAAAACACAGGTATATTTTACCCGAGGGCAGCAGAGGTGTAGTACAGGGTATACCTAGGTATACAGAGTATACCTTCTTATTTTTCAGTCGGTGTTTACCCACTTCTAAATCCCATTCGATGCACATTATTCAGTAGTGTTCTGCAAGCTGAATTTGTTTTCTGTGGCAAGTTATCAAATTTGGAGTGGATGGAGTAATAAGGAATAAAGAATACATCACTCAAAATACATCATTATGTATTTGTCTCACTCGTCTATGGGCCCATATTAATTGCACAATCTGCACCTCTTCTGTGGCTAATGTTTTTATAATTTCATAATGATCTTTACTGCCTGAAGGAAAGCCACAGAAGTTAAGTGACAATGTACAAATACTACTGGCCTATTTTGGGTGAACTACATATGCAAGAATAGTCTTACATGCCACTGTTTAAAACAGTGTTTATCCGTTGCTGGACAGCCTGCTTAAAAAAATTGGGACATAAATTAAAAGTTTACCCACTTATCCAGGCACCACTACACCACTGGTTGACGGTTCTAATGTTAGAAAGCAGCAAAAGCCAGGATGGCCACATGACATGACTGTGTGACAACTTCAAAAACATCTTATTTTGTTGGACAGTGTTCTCTGTCTTCATTGCCATGCATTTTTTATAACCAAATCAGGGTTCTTCAACTGGATTGATAAGTCATTGTATACGGGGCAGTAAAACAGAAAACAAAATAAATTCTCAATAACACCAGTTCTTAACTGAGCACACAAGGACCTCTGCCTTCTCTTTATATTAAATATGATTATAAAATAAAATTGAGCACACCACTGAATCATAAAGTTTTGAAAATGTTAAAAAAAAGTCAGTTTTATGTAACTCAACACTCTCCCAGCTGACTCTGACAGTGCTTTTCATCCTTCTGAAAAGCTCATGTTTTCATTAAAGACAAAACCAAGATGTTTGTGAGAAGTGGTGTAGTTTAAGGGCATTGATCAGACTGAAATTACAATCAGGAGAGACTTCATTTTTGAAAGAACAAATATATTTAATTGATATGTGCACAATGAAGATGAAAAATGTGAAAAGTCTTTGGTGATTAGACCCCATTGTGATGCCATTGTATTTGAAAGGGTTGGTGAAGCCGTGATTAGTATAGGAAACCCCCGTGATGGAGTCTAGACACTGGTGGTGGTGATGATGAAGGAATGAAGAGAATGCTAAGATCTGGATATGAGTGGATTGCTGATAAACTCAACCTGGGCTACACATATGATGAACTGGAGATTAATTGGGTGGAGGAGGGCTGCAACAATTTTGCACTGAAATGACAACTGAAAGAGAGGAGAACAGATTTAAAGTTTGATGGCAGCAAAATGATTGGCTGGAGGAGATTGTGGCTAAATCTGATTGGATTAACTAAAAGAGTAACAACCCATAGCTGATTAGATAGTTGATAGAGATCATTGTGAAGTCTCCATTTATTGCACCATAAACTCAACTCAAACTCAATATTCAACATCTTGTGTAAAGTAATCTCTTTCTCTGCAACGAACACAACATCATCAGCATAAAACAAAATATATCTCACTGCATGTAGGAAACTGGGGCTTTGATGGCATTATAAAATTGGCCATCAATACCAGACCAAATTAACTTATACCCCAAAAGATCTCTATTAATTCATCTCAGTTTAAATGATGTTTAAGAAATCAGATTGCTGAAGAAAGGCGACTTAACGTTCTGTCTGCATGTCAGAGCTGAGAGGCAGCATCCTGCATCAACACACCAAACCCCCACTCTCTTTGTCTTCCCTGTGTACTGGTTGGTTGGTTGGTTTGAGACCAGTTGTCCGCTCTCTGAATAATGAGGTCAGTCAAACAGCCGCTGACTTTCACATTTACAAACCTCCCTCCTCTCTGCCCTGTCTGAGGGTTTCTCCTCTGTTGGGAACTTGTTTTAAAGATGGACAGCAGAGCAAGCAGCTGCCGGCCGTCATGAAATTCAGAGTCAGATCATTGGAGCATCACCTCTCCTGAGGACACTCCTGTAACACTGTAGGACATCTGAAATCAGATACATCTTTGACTTAAAAAATATAAGATAATTTAATTTTGCTTTTGTTTTTACCGGTTATTCTACCTCCTTTTTTAAAACTTGTTA